GCTGAGGTTTTATCATTTTGGGAGGCCTTCAGATGTTGTTTGATCTAACATGTGAGAAACTATAATGGAGGTCATTTCAACTTCTGAAGGGGTACTCCAGCCATCCAGACACTTGCATTTACTTTAAAAAAAACTGTCTTCTTCTGGAATATCAGATGTTCTGCCCTCAGATTCCCTATTCTTCATGTGCTTTCTCTATTTTTAGACTCAATTCTAATTACAGTTCTAATAGTGTTCACATCATGCAATATTAGCCTAATAGTTCTAAGTTGCTTCCCTTTTAAATTTCTTCATCTATTATCAGTGATACAGAAATACCATGTATTGTTTTCCATATTACCCACCATTAACAGCTATGAACACAGATGGGATAGGGCTGGTGACTCAATTACTGTGTCTCACAGAGACAGAAACTGTCAGCAGAGCCAGGTGTGGTGGTACATGCCTTTAGTCTCTGCACTCAGGAGCCAGAGGCAGGTGGATCTCTGTGAATTCCAGGCTAGCCAGGGCTACATAATGTAGCCATGTCTCAGCAGCAGCAGCAGCAGCAGCAAAAACAACAATAACAACAAAATAAAAATCATAAATACATTTAAAATATCAACAGAAAGAAGTGGGAGTGGACTCAATTTCTGTCATCTGATATCAAAATAGTTGTTAGGGAGAGTTTTCTCAGAATAGGGTGATGATTTCTGACACCAAGTAGAAGATACCATTTTTAATACCAGTAGCAGTTCTCTAACACAAGCTGGGCATCCAGCCATTTACTTAAATTCCAACATTGTCTACTCTGAGTTGACTTTTGAGCCCACAGGTTCAAGAACTGTGTGTCACAAGGCTGCCCCTACTTCAGAAACCTGTTGCAAATGTGTTGCATAGTCTAAAATGCTGACTCTAAGTACAGGGATCCTGCAGCCCCAGGTTCAGTAATTTCATAAGGTGGCTCACTATTTCAACTACACATTTAGGTTTATTTTAAAGGCTACAACTCAGAAGCAGGTGCATAAGAGGTAACAGGGCAGGTGTTGGTGAGGAGTTCTGTTACTCTTCTCTGCTACACCCATGTGTGCAATCACCTAGACTTTCAATGTGCCTTGTTCAGGTTTATCTTGCTCAATCTCCAAGTCCCCTGGATATGAGTATGAGATGGGATTGAGTGTTCCATGCTCTAATCAGGCAGTTTGTCTTTCTGGTGTTTGGCTCCCTTCCTAAAGCTATGGGAAGGTCCAACCCCAAGCTATTTCATTAGTATAAACTCATGTGTGGACCACAAGATCTCTTTAACAAAAAGTATTCCTGTCTCTCAAGAAATTACAAGGGTCTGAGGAACTCCATGCAAGGAAAACCAAATATATATCTCATTATATTGCAATGCATTTTTAAAATATTTTATTTGTTTTGTTTTTTATTTGTATGAGTGTATTGCCTGCATGTATATAAGTGCACTCATGTTGTGCAGAACCTATGGAGGTCAGAAGATATTGCTGAACTCCTCTGGAAGAGGAGTTACAGATGGCTGTTAGCTACCATGTGGGTGCTGGAAATTGAACCCAGGTCCTCTGCAAGAACAGCTAGCACTCTTAACCACTGAGCCATCTCTCCAACCCCTGTAATGTATTTTAAAAAATATTTTATTTTTTTATTTTATGTGTATGGGCATATTGCCTGCATGTGTGTAAGTCTGCCCATGCTGTGCAATGCCCACAGTGTCAGAAGCCACCATATGGGTGCTGGGAATCAAAGTCAGGTCCTGTACAAGAGCAGTCAGTGCTCTTCACAGCTAAGCCTTCTCTCCAGCACCCCTGTAATGTATTTTTTAAAAGTAACAAAACTATCCCTCCAGCCCTATTTTCATGCCAGCGTGCATGCACACATACACTTAAAATGTTTTCTGTGAGCTCAAGACAGGTTCATAAAGGGCTAAGGCATCAGAGCTGTGGAAGCGTCTGGTACATTTCAGATCACTGCTCTGCTCTTTCCTTCTGTGCCCCATCACAACTCACTCTTTTCATGAAGATTATATGGGAAGGATCATAGCACGGGGGAGAAGGTAGTCACAAACTGTTTTCCGGGACTGTCTAGTAGTCTTTGTGTCATGGGTTCACATGTGTTTTATACCAGGTGCTCTCAGTGGAGATTCTGCTCTGGGATGCCGTCCCTAGGGACTTAAGATCTGATTGGCAGAAAATTCTTTGAGAATATACATCCAGTTCTTTCTAGAGCCTGACTGTGAGGGCCCGATTACACTTTTTTTTTTTTCTGGGACGTTCCTACGGTCAATAAAAGGTTCACACTTAGCTCCCATGCCATGTTAGCCCTCCCTCTTCTACACCATTGTTTGTATTTCAGACACTAGAGTTACCACAGCCCCTGTGCCCTGAAGGATTCTGTATAACGGACGCCTCATTTATCACTTAACTCCAAGGACCACATCATTTTGATATGCTGCTTTAGGCATGGTCTGATTTTATCCTTACAACACTATCCTGTGGGGTTGTGTACACATAGGGACATTGCAGCTCAGAGAGGGTGATTATTCAGTCACTTAAATTCTCACAGCAGGGGCCTGGAGAGATGGCTCAGCAGTTAAGAGCACTGACTGCTCTTGCAGAGGACCTGGGTTCAAGTCCCAGCCCCCTTCTGGCCTCTGCGACATAGCCAGACATGGGTGCACTCACTTACATGCAGGCTATACACTCATACACATAAAATAAAAATAGCAAATAAAATATTTTTTAAAATTCTCACTACAAATCTCTCCCAGAGCCTTTGTACCCACCTACATCTGTCTAATACCAGAGTTCCCTCCCTGCAGCTATCCCTTCTCCCTTTCTGCTCTGTGGGTCAGTCTAGCCTTGGAGTCAGGCGAATTAGCAGACACAGATCAGCAGCTCCTTCAGAGATGTCATCTGGTCCATGCTGTTATGATAGAGTGCTTATAATACAGGGATTGCTTTTGAAGAAACAACTTTGAGACAGCCCAAGGTTATTTTGCTTGAGGTCTGATAATGTAATTGAATTTTGACCTAGTGACCAACTTCAACTGGAGCTGTCTGAGTTTCTCGTCACAGAGACAAGCTTATATTTTGGTGAGCCATGGGGTGTTTACACAGTGCTGATCAGGCAAAATAGCAATGATGTCACCCTATCAGACTTCAAACCTGTAGAAAACCCACAGTTGGGTGTGTGCACAGGCCAGGAAGTGTGTGGAAAGCTGGGAAGGTGGGAGGCAGCTCTGACCTGATGTGACTAAGGTATATATGTTTAAGCAACTGAGTGGTCCTTTCCCTGCCTCCCCTCCTCTTCTGGCCATCACATCAACAAGTCAAGGAGATGGGTAGCTTTCCTGTCCTCTACTTTCTTGAGCAGTTCTTGGAACTCTAGTCCCCATGCGCATAAGAATGGTCATTGTGACTAACTCAGAGTGGCATCCCAGGGTGAAGTATAAGATGGAAGGACTTTGCTCAAAGCAAGAGAGAGAAATGAAGGGGAGTGCAGAGCCAAGAGCAGCCAGACATATTCGCTATTGTGAACATGGTTTGGCTAGTTCCTGGGAGCTCTTGATAAACCACTTAGTGAGGCCAGAACTTTCTCAGTGTTCTATTTCCCACCCACTCCATCAACTGGAGACCACAGGAAGGGAAGTATTGATGCACAGGTGATGCTGACTGCATGCTAAATTAATTTAATATCCTCATTTGCTGAGGTCTCTAGTGTAGATAGGCCCTCTTGTCTGACATCAGGTGATTCCAGACCTGAGGTAGCCTTTCAGAATACTGCCTGCCCTGTCCAGAGGATGGCTAGACCTCTGGGATGTGCCTGTGGACATCTTATTGCTAGAATCTGTAGCTGTACATCCACAATGCCTCATTTGCATATCCCAACTCCAACAGCTCTGACAGTTTTCTTTCCTCCTCTTCACTTTTGATATTGTTTCATAATTTTGCATCAAACTTATTAGCTCTGAAATCAAATTGAGACTGATGTGCCATTGAAGCTTTTGTCTCTTGGTATAAATATGTACATACATTTTGAGGCATAAATGAAACGTATTTGATTAAGGGGGAACCACTCTGGTCCCAGTATGATGTGTAGCACCCTGAACCTTCCTAAATCTTTGAATGCATGAGTCTCATTAGATTGGTATCATAGAGACAGGTTAGAGGATGGAGTTTGATCATGTGGAAGCTGGTGGGTTCTCTCCTGCAAGCCCTGAGACCTGCTGGAGCAAGGCTGTTTTCCTATCAGCGGTAGGGAGAATCTTAGATCTGTGGTTTTTACGTGCTTGGCCCTGGGAAGGGTGGAGGTACCTGGTCCTGGGAGGGAGGATCACAGGCATGGTCCCATCCCTGGCAGAGATCATTCAGATAGGTCCAGTTCCGAGTTTGTGTGTTTATGAGTGCTGCACAGTCCTCGTCTCCGACATCCACATTTTGCTGCTGAGACCCAGGGTTTGCAGTGTCAGCCTATAGCATTGCAAGCACTGTCCATGGGACAAAATCAGAACTCACAAATAAAACTGACTTCAGAAGTTTTGAAGGGTTCCCAAGCAGGTGCACAGTCCTCCTTTGCAAAAACAAACAGCTGATATTTCTATAGTCTAATTTTGTTTCTAGTTGAGATAACTTATTTTTTATTTTCTAAGTGTCCTTTCAGTGAAGACTTGGAAAGCAGAACTGTTATTTATTTGGCTAGAAGTAACCTGCCCATCTAGGAAGGAGAAGCCTGGGGAACTGTAGCATTTGGAATTAGCTTTAATGGCACCATCTGAACGTGGTCATGGTGACAGCAGGGCCTCAAATGCAATTTTTATGCTATTCAGGAGTGTTTTGGAAGGGATTATTTAATTTCCAGGTTCTTATATTTTATAAATAACAACTCAGTTATGTAAATAAATGTCTGGAACTCTTTTTTGGCTTTGAACTTATCTAATCATTTCTTACAAGAAATATAAGTAAGCCAGGGAGCAAAATGCTGCTAATGCCCTATCTGTATATCAGTCTTGGACAGATCACTATTTGCAATGGAACGTGTCAGAATACCCCGGCGTGAAGAATGTTCGTTTCCCAGATGGCCAAATTTGGAAACCAGACATTCTTCTCTATAACAGGTAAGCACATTGGACAGATGGAAAATTAGCTTTGCTTGTGTACATGTAGCAATCAAGCATATTTGAATATTTTACCAAAATGCTGGCTGTGTTATCTGCAATTTGGAGGCTTGCTCCCTATGAGGCTTTCCAAGTGGCTAAGCCTCTGGGAGACAGTCCCATCCCCCACTGCTTAGATTTGCTTGCAAGTTCAGATTGTCCCACCTACTGCCAGAGATGGCCCAGTCCATTGGGGCATGCATTATTGGTGTGTAGGATTGCTGTCTGTGTACTGGAACATGAAGTATTTTGCATAAGGCAACACCCTTGCTTTTTCTGAATGACAACCATTACAATCAATGACAGAAGGTGCCAGACTACAGAATGTGCACTGGAGAGCCCTGTTTAGACCTAGGGCTTCATCCAACTTATTTTTCATTGTCTACTGGGAGTTGGTTCCATTTTGACTGGGTTCACAAGGACTCTTCTCTCTAGCTGCTCACAGAAGCATGGTGTATAGGCTAAGGATTATCTATAACAGTCAGATAATATTAATGTATATCATGCTGTTCTCTCAAGGGCAAGAAATAAGATTCATTTGTAATTCAAGGCATTGTGATTTTCAGACTAGATCCCCAAAGGAAAAGTGTCTAGGCAGGGTAAATTCTTGAAGCAATAAAATTATTTGTTAAGAAATGTAGCCAAACAGGGGAACTTAGAATATCTCTGTTCTAAACATTCCAAATGGGATAGCCAGTTTCATACAATAGGAAATTATTTCCTAAATATGACTGTGCCTTTGCTCCTGTCTGGGCAGACAGACCCAGGTGTTCCTGACTCAGAGCAGTGTGACTGTCCACCACTGGGCTTGGTAAGTCATCAGTGAAGTCCTGGGGTAGCTGAAGTGTTCAGACCATACTTGTTCCTTCCAGAAGCCTGGGCAGTTAAGTTTCTTGCATTTACTTTTAATTCCTTCTGCCTTTACTGCTGCTATTGTATTTCCCTTGAAAGACTGAATGTGTCTCTAGAGGAAAATGTCCTCCTCATTTGCTGCCACTCTCTGCTTCTTAAAGAATGCTCAGGTAACAGCTTGGGACATTCACGGTCAGAATGAGTGGTCTCCTAATTAGTGAGTCTCCTAAGCTTTGGGTCATCTGTTCCCTGGGGGATGGCACTAATTTTCCAGGACCGCTTTGTCAGAGTATTATTGACTTCGACCTTAAACAGCAGACACCTGTGTGCTCACAGTTCTGGATGCCAGGAGACAAAGATCAAGATATAACCAGACTTGGTTTCTTCTGGTTCCTTCTATTGAGCTTGCAAGTGGCCCCCTTCTCCCTCTGTGTACATGGTCTTTCTCTACGTGTGTTTGTGTCCTGATATCTTACCAGGATACCAGTCAGATTGGACTAGTGATCTCATTTACTTAAAACTCTCTCTCTCTCTCTC